TGACATATGGAGGAGTTAGTGCTTATAGGTGGGTATGAGTGGGAGAGTTATGGGCCTCACTCCATCTCCAGAACTGGCATAATGCCCCAGTAAATAAAGGGCAGCTTTTAACCTGATTGCCTTAACATCAACCTGCCTCTGGCACAGGCTTTGCTCCAGCTCGGAGGCGATGGCCTGGTGGTATTGTTGCTGGGTTATTAATCTGGAGAACCAGATAATATTCTGGATTCACATCTCACCATAGCAGATGGTGGAATTTGAATTCAATAGAAATCTGGAATTTAAAAGTCTAATGATGACTATGAAACCATTGTCGATTGTCAGCGAAAAATCCCCATCGGGTTCACTAATATTATTTAGGGAAGGAAACTGCCTTCCTTACCTGGTCTGGCCTACATGTGACACCAGACCCACCGCAATGTGGTTGACTCTTTACTCCCCTCTGGGCAATTAAGGATGTGCAGTATATTTTGCTCATAACACCCATATCCTGTGAATGAATAATTTAACTAAAAGGAGTGGTTGAAGTTGCATAGAACCAGAATGGGCTGGATGGGGTGAGTACTTAATTAAGGTACTGATGAAGGAGGGAAGACAAAGGAGCATTGTCATTAGGATGTGCCTGTGATAAGAGGACAAATGATTTGTCATGTGATAGCAATAATTAACTGCTGCAGTGGCTTGTGTCCCTGTGGATAAAATGTTATTTGGGACAGAATTTATATCAAGGATGACTCATGAGTGACGGTGTCCAATACAAGCACTGGCTGGACAGCCAAGTTAAATCTATAATGGAAAGTTAGTCTCCACAATTACACCATGAAACTATCAATGACAGTCATTTAAAAAAAAAACCCATCTACTTCTCTACTGTTCTTCAGAGGACATATTTTTCTTTATCAGATCTGACTTGCATGCTACTCCAGACCCCAGAAATGTGGTTTGATCCCCCTCTGGAATGACCCTGCAAGTCACTCAATTGTACCAAACCACTACAAAGAAGTTCATCTGTAGTGGTTCAAGAAGGTGCTGACCACAATCCCTGTGAGGGCATGCAGGATGGACACCAAATATTGACCTTGCCATTGTAAGGTCTGGTGAGCGAGACAGTGAGTAGAAGGGTCAGTGAGAGATACAGTAAGTACAAAGACTGGTGAGGGAAATGGAGAGCTTGAGTCAGCCTGCAGGCAATTTGAGGAGCAAAATTATGAATTGCAAGGGAAGGAATGCTTTGGATGAGTCAGCAAGCAGGAGCATCACGAGCAGAAATCAAGCAAGTATGAGCAGACAGGTCAATATGCAGACAGTGTGACCAGCAGAAGGATTAGGGAGGGAAGGGATGGCTTTGGGAGAGTCGAGGACAGAAGAGCCTAGTGGAGGTCAGTGAAGGAACTGTCAGAGGAGAAGCAGTCAGTTTAGTTTGCATTTTTAAAAACTAAAACAAGCTTGCTCAGTTACTGTACTAAGAAGAATTTTGTAGCAGTGTTGTTGGGGAATGTCTGTAATTTACCTACTAAAAACCAAACCTGTTTTAAATGGGAGACACCTTGATTGATTGATTGTTGTCCGATATACTGAAATACAGTGAAAAGTGTTGTTTTGCATGCTATACAGGCAGGTTGTACCATACAAAGTGCATCAGGGTCGCAGAACAGAGTGCATAATACAGTCTTACAGCCATAGAGAAGGTGCAGAGAGAGATCAGAATTAACATTTGAGAAGTCTGTTCAAAAGTCTAATAACAGCAGGGAAGAAGCTGTTCTTGAATCTGCTAATGTGTGTATTCAAACTTTTATATCTTCTGCCCAACAGAACAGGGTGGAAGAGAGTATAACCAGGGAGGGAGGGCTTTTTGATTATGTTGGTTGCTTTCCGAAGGCAACGCGAAGTATAGATGCAGTCAATGGATGGAAAACTGGTTTGATGAAGGGCTGGGCTGTGTGTAGTTTCTTGGGAAGAGCAGTTGCTGTACCATGCTGTAATGGTCCCAGAAAGGATGCTTTCTATGGTGCATCTATAAAAATAGGTCAGAATCCTTGTTCGTGCATTGGAAGGAATTCAGAGAAGGTCAACTCAGCTGATTTCTGGTGGTGTTATAAAGAGTTGGAGTGAGGAGTTGTCTCCCCCTTTATAAAGCCCTTTTGGATGGTCGGAACAAATTTATTTTTGCCACAGCGAGCAGGCTTAAAACATAGTTCACTGGAAAATGAAAGAGCCAATTGCCAAGTTTTTGTGAGTAAAAGAAAGAGAAATGTTAACCTGACTTAACCTGAGGAAAAATACTAAAAGCACAACATCAAACACAACGCAGGTAAGGAGATTAAAGTGAATCGTGTCCGGTACAGACATGGAGAAGGTTAAGCAACAGCAGAATCTGTGGTATCTTTGAGTTCTGAGCGAACAGTTATATTCCAGATTTGATTTTTGCCTGGATGCTATATTTTGAGTGAAACGGACTGCGAGAGAGAGAGTTCCAGCTCTTGTCACAAATTTATTTTTCCATCCTTTGGTTCTGCACTCAAAAGTAGCTGTTAAAATGTTGTTCACTGTGTATTCTGGAGTCTAGCTCTATTACCTTTCCAAGGTCAGTAACTGGTAGGTGATCTTTCGTTTTCTAATATGTGAAATTATCATGCAGGCATGAAGTAAAACAGGACATGCAAATATCTGACTCAGTTTCTGGCTATGATGTCATTAGATGAAGATGTTCATTTCAATGCAGACAATTTTGTTTACGTGGACCTCGTAGCTTCCCTCCATCTATGCTCAGTTGATCATTGCAGCCATTTTGGTGCATGCTTCTTTCTTTTTTTTAAAAAAAAAAAACATTTAGGCCATGAAATGTCTCTGGCCTAGCAGTCGGATGATGGAAGTTGAAATGGAATAGTCCATATTCACAACTGAAGTAACATTCCTCTTATTGAGGAGAAGTTGAGCTGGTTGAGCCTATCCTCCATTGGAGTTTAGGAGAATGAGAGGTGATCTTATTGAAATTTGTAAGGTTCTTAAGGGGGCTTGATAGAGCGGATGTTGAGAAAATATTTTCCCTTTGTAGGAATCTAGAACGTGGGGACGTAGTTTCAGAATGGTTTCTCCCATTTGTGATAAAAATGAAGGGGAATTTCTCTCAAAAGGATGTTAATCTTTTGAATTTCTTTCCATAGGTAGCAGTGGAGGCTGATCCATTGCATATATTCAAGGCCAAGTTAGATTATTGATCTACAAGGGTTTTTTGGGGGTTGGTGTTGGGTTTGTGTGTGTGCACGCAACCGAACAGAGTTAAGACCTGAATTTGAGTAGTGAATAGGATTGAGGGGCCAAGCAGTCTACTATTATTATGGTGGTATAGTTATGTAGTTCTTCTCAACAACTGCCAGCTAATTTATTGTGTAATAACGTGAATGATTTTCTGTCGTGTAGAGTTTGTGAATATTTCGGTTGATTGACGTACAGTATACTATTGCCAAAGAACGGAGGTCTTTTTAAACATGCATTCCCTGCTGCATGAGTTTGGAATAGTTGAGGGCTTGGACACATGCAGTGTGTAGCTCAATGTTCACTGCCTGTACAGTGTCCTTTGAGCTCAATATCTACAGGCATCCCTATTATGCCAATGTGCACTTTTGTATTTCTCCCATGAATGTTATTGCCTGTCTGAGTGAAATCAGTTGTATTCCAGAAACATGGAAAACTCAAATCTCTTATCAAATTCTTCCTCTTTGACGCTGACTCTATGACCTCGGCAGTCAATAGAAAAGCTGCTTAAGGTGATTTTAGTTCTATTTTCATGTTAAGTTGGGATCAGGGGTGGGGCGTTGCTCATGTAACCCCAGACTTGGTTTTACAAGCGCTCCATGCCTTTTCCAGACATTTTATGACTGGGAACAGAAATTTATTGCATTTAAGATACCACTACTTTATTCATCAAAGTATAGGGTTGTCTTCAGAAACTGTCTAAATTAGACTGAATAAATGTTTCACTGCAAAGTTTATGGGCAAATGAATCTAGCTCATGTGTGCATTAATTCTCTCTCAACTCAGTTGAACTTGTATGCAATCATTGCTAACAGAAGAATCAGGTTTGTTTTGCTTTTTGTAAGTCATTTAAGAGTCATTGGTGTCTGTATTTCAAAAGCATCTTCTTATTAGAAAGCAGAATGAAAGTTTTTTTTTACACATTAAAGCACAGCAGAGCTAACATCTAATTAGCAGGCTTTTTTTATGATTTCTAGTTTGGCCAAAACGGCATTATCTGTGCTGGCTTTTCTTGTATAATTGATTTGCGGTGCAGCTACTTAAACCTCAAGTCCCACCCCCCCTCCCTACAACTATACTCCTGATGCCAGCCAATATACTATTGAGAGAAATGATGAATTACCCCAACTTCTGATGCTAATGCATCAAGGAAGAAATTGCACGCTACATAGAGTGCCACTGACAGTAGCACTGCATCAGAGCGCAGTGCGAGGAAAGGCTCCCAGTCCATAAAAAAAATCCGTCTCCCGGGCCCCTGCCAGTGTCAACAAGTGAACGTTTTGGAAAAGAGGTGACATTCGGTAGGCTGATGAAGGACTTGTTGGCAGCAGATTGCGTTACTGTCACAGGCCCTAAGTTTTATTTTGTATTGCTGGTGGGTTCTGCTTGTAGGAGTTGATGGAGCAGATTTATGACAGCTGCTGGGCACAACAAATTAAGTTGACAGTGATGTATGGGAGCATTATGGCATGATGATCCTGCCGTAGCTCGGCTGGACTCCTCTTGCTTCATTTGGCTCTTGTTAGTATCTGTTAGGCTGCTAAGTAATAACATTCTGCTGACTGACTTGTTTTTTTTTCTTTTTTCTTTCCCATTCTCTTGTTTTTGTCTCTTCTCCCTCTCTCTGTCTCACTTTCTCTTTTTCTCTATCCCTCTCTTCCCCTCCTCCCTCCCCACTCTCTTTCCCTCCATTCCTACATCCCCTGCCCTGCAATATTTCCCTATTTCAACATTTTGTTTCTCAGACCCATCCAAATGCTAGCAAATTGCCCTTGAAGGAATCTTTCACCTTTGATGACTACAGGTTGGTATGTAAAGAAAATTTTGAAGGAAGAATTTGAAAAAGGAAATATCTATTTTCTTGGTAAAATGAAATACTGTTGTGAAATGTGATCTGCAGCCTGTGCATTAAGTTGGTCCTTCATTTTAATAATGGGAGCCCCAATGTACTTGCAATTCACCTCCTTTTAAGATGTAAAATGTACATTGTTAAATGCTCTGAGATTGAGGAAGTGAAATGTAGCAGTTTTCAAAAATAACCATCCCAAAGTACTTTATCCAAGTATAGCTTCTATTCAATGTGATGAGAAGTATTTCTAGGAATTGACAGCTTATTGAAGTCACATCTGTGCAAGTGACTTATTACCTGGTCTTATTTGTCACTAAAGTTGAATCTCTCAAACTCCAGTTTCCAACTGCTCCATTCACTGTATTTACAACTAACAGAAAAATGTTCGAAATGGGAAAATAAATGAACACTTTTATTTATTATCTATATAAATTTTCTTTTGTAATTCTCACAGCAGGAGATTAGTCTTTAATTCCTAGAGATTCCAAGACAGTCCTGAAGTTCACACAACAGTAGTTCCTCTCCTGAATATCAATTGAGTTTAAACTTTTAATGCAATTTTTATTGAATATCTGATGGCTAAACATTTAAAATAAAAACTGAGTTTACCATGAAGGATGCATGCACTGACGATGAGGGAGCTTTTCTTTACTGAACACCGATTAAACGAGATGAGAACAATTGTACCCATGAGAGTTCTAAGACTGACAAAGATTTCAACTAATGCCACATTTAACTTTTACTTCTCATATGAGTACAACTGTTTCTTTTTGAGTTTATTCTTCACATCTCTCTTCACCTAGCATGGGTCTGATACGTTTGTGGTGTTTCCACTGCAGCACAGGCACCTTCCAAAGATGGCATTCCAAGTGACTTTCTTTGCACATAAGAAAAAGAAGTACGTGCAACTAAACCAAGTCTATACCTTACCATGTGGTAGATTTGCTGCTATCATCCTCTTTAAATATAGGGAACTACAATGCCTGCTTAGTTTGGTGTGGTAAAGGAAAACCATTTCCTGGTTCACGCTTGAATATTTTATATTTAACTAGCAGTTCACATTAATATGATGGACATTGTTATAAAGACTGAGGAGGTCCTCAATATTGAGACTTCTCTGAGATTCTAAGTTGGTCTGCCCACCAGAGCGTATGAAACCATCATCGTGGTTATAATTTTTGTACTCCTCAGTATTAACCCTTTTAGACAATGTATCTCCCCCCCCCCCCCCCCCCCACCACCACCACTCCATCCCAGCTTTTTCCTCAATGTAGTTTTATACATTTGTGTGTAGAATTTGTATTTGCCACTAGCCCATCTCTTCTTCACCGACACCATTTCTGCAAACAAGTACATTCATAGGTTTCACCACCAGCTGTGAGATCTTCAATACCACACCTCTGACCAAGCTCTGGTTCTGCACTTCTGCAGAATTCTCTGGTGCAATCTCTCCTGGACATCTTACCAAAGTGAAGCTGGAATAACCAGTCATTCAAGATTGTAAAATGCTGATCAACTTTGCCAATGTTGATCTTCTCAGGATTCATTACTTCTGGGCTTCTGCTTTACTTTCTCCATCTGAATGGCTTTCTCTAGAGTCAGGTCCCCTTGACTCTACTAAACCTGACAGAGATGCATTAGCAGTTACAACAACAATTCTGTCTCTTATGCATTCTGACTTTAAATCACCATAATTGCATGTTTCCTCTAATTTGTAGAGATCATCAATGAATCTATGTATTTCTGTGGATGCTGATTTCTTCTCTTAGCCCTTACTGTTTTAAGAATTTTATTTTTTCTGACATTAAAGTAACTGTCAAAGGCTTCTAATACTACTTCAAAAGTATGAGCTGTTTCTTTTATACCTTGGTGAGCTGTAACGTCATCAGCTATACTTTTACTTCTGTATAGAAATGTATTAACTTGATCAGCTTCTGATGTAGTATCTAGTTTAGAAGCTGTTCTGTTTCTTAAGAATTACTTTCTTCAGGATGTCTAATCTATGATCCATTTGGTTTATCTGTAAAATGAAATCTTTCTGGCAATATTATTTTTGATCAGATGTCTTTCTAATGAGATCATCTCCCCTGCTGAAAATGATTTTATTTGAAGTGATAGCAGTGCTGCCGCTTTATGTTGCAAACTGGACTGTGTTCCCACGTTTTGTGCCAAGTAGAGGAGCTGTCTTTAGAGCTGTGATGGATGAATTTGCAGTTTTTTTTGCAGCTTCACAGTCCACTGTGCCTGCCCTTAATAAATGACTCCTGTTTCCCTAACAGCTTTATTGATGCTGGAAATCAGAAACAAAAGCAGAAATTACTGGAGAAGCTCAGCAGGTCTGGCAGCATCTGTGGAGAGAAATCAGAGTAAACGTCTCGGGCCCAGTGACCCTTCCTCAGGAACTTCTTCAAAATTCAGGGGGAGGATCACTGGACCCAAAACATTAATTCTGATTTCTCTCCATAGATGCTGCCAGACCTACTGAGCTTTTCCAGCAATCTCTCTTTTTGATTCCCATTTTAAGCATGGGTTTATTAAATGAATTAGGCAGTGTGCAACTTTAGCAGATGAATCCAGCTTCTTAAACATTTTTTTTTTCTGGATGATGCCTGCTGTCTGTGGCTCTAACAATGATCCCTGTCTTTCATAATTTTTCTGGATTATTCCATCTCCCACAGTTTAATTAAATGTTTCCTACCTATAATGTGGTTTCAGTGAAGGACCTCCTGTTTTTTCATGTCTTTTCAAGGCTCCTAACCTTTTTCTTCTCTTAGACCAAGGCTGCTTAGGTTTCTAATCTGCCCCTTTGTGACTTTCTAATTCTGACTTCACCGTGTCCCCAGTTCTGCAACCTTAGTTACAATTCCTTTTTTGTAGTCCTTGATTGCCCTTGCTGTAGTTGTGCCTCATGGTGCCTGCCCCTATTGCAGCAACGCTCAATTTGAGCTGTCAGTACTCTCCGTACTTTTCGTTTACATAGCCTGTAATACTGCATTGTTTTATTTAAAAATTCTTCGCTCCCCAGAGATTTTAACTTTATTCACAGAGTCTTTGACATCCATTCATTCTCCAACTAAACCCTGAACTTGGGATTTCTCTTATAGACCATCACCATGTGATGTAGTCTGTTTCCGTCATGGGGTAACTCATTCTCCTTCTACCCTCTCCAGGGTGTTCTTAACTTTCCTGTCGCAGCACGTCTCTTATCAGGTCTGTCGATTCTTCCTTGTTGAATCTTGCTGCATGGTTTCTTTTTGTAAGGTAATGTTACGCCCTTTCCTACTGCTGATTTTCTGCATTAGCAGGTGACTTAAAGCCAAATCTGGTGATAGCTGAAAAATCTTCAGCCCTCCACCACTGCCAGCACTTTCTACGTGGTGGCTAAATGAAATTTTCACTGCTGCTCACCATGTTGTTCATGCATCTAAACCATGAGTGCATCTCACCATGTGGTGGACTTGTGACAACAGTTGTTCCAAAGTGGAGGAAGAATGGATTTTGGTTCACAGGTCTGTGAAGGTCAAACTTGTTATTTTAATGTCAAAAAGTCATTTTGAACAGCGAGTTTCCATCGGCACATGGAAAATAGGAGCAGGAATAGGCTATTTGGTCCTTCGTGCCTACTCTACCATTCATATGATCATTAATGATCATCCAACTCAGTGTCCTTTTCCTGCTTTCTTCCCTTACTGTTTGATCCCTTTAGCCCTAAGAACTATAACTAATTCCTTCTTGAAAATGTTCAATGCTTTGACCTCAACTGCTTTCTGTGGTGTAGAATTCCACAGGCTCGGTACTCTGGCTGAAGGAATTCTTCCTTATCTTAGTCCCAGATGTCCTACCCCATATCCTTAGACTGTGACCCCTAGTCCTAGTCTGCCTCGGTCATTTGGAACATCCCTCCTGTGTTTATCTTGTCTAGTCCTGCTGGAATTTGTTTTATAGGTCTCTCAGAACCCTGCTTATTCTTCTAAACTTCCAATGAGTATAATCCTCGCTGATTGAGTCTCTCTTCATATCAGTCCTGCCATCACAAGAATCAGGCTGTTAAACATTCATTGCACTCCCTCAATGGCCAGAAAACCCTTCCTCAAATAAGAAGACCAAAACTGCACACACTATGGACATCATGCAAGTCATGTGATTTTAACTAAATTACCAGAAAGCCACCTGGGGAGATAAGTGCTAAGGTGTTTGCTGACTTAGTTTCACAACCAGCAGAGAAAGAGAGTGAGAAGGGACCAAAAATAGATTTATGCATGGGAAGAGTAGGCCTTATCACCTTCATCCACATCGCCCCCACCCCTAAGTCTGTTGTACCATTCCATAAGATTGTGGCCAATCATGTACCTTACTTTGCTTCCACAACAACTCTCTATGTCATTTGATTCCTTAAGTTTTTTAAAAATCCTTTTATGGGCTGTGGGTATTACTAGCTAGGCCAGCATATATTGCTTATCCTCAGATGCTCTGCACAACATGGTCCAGGTTTCCCAGCAAAAAGGTATCCAAAATCTATCCATTTCTGTCATAAATAAATTCAACAGCTGAGCATGCACAGCCCTTTGGAATTTCAGAATTCCAAAGATTTGCAACCCTTTGAGTCGAGAAATTCTCATCTCAGTCCTAGATAGGGTAGTTTCGATCACAGAATTAAAGGAGAAATTTGTGAGCACAACTCAATTGCTATAAGGTCCACCCCAATCATAGAAAAAAATTCCTCATTAAAGATGTGCAGCTAATCAAAAGGCCAGCAGCTCTATAGTCCCGGTATCAGCCAGGAGGCACAGCCATTGCTGCGACTACAAATAGTTCCCCATACTGAGGAGCCTTGGTAAGTGTAGGTTAAACGGTCTCAACAAAGGTGGTTGGCCAGGTTCAGAAATCTGGGGGAAAAGAGTTATATGTGAATGAACCTAGGATAGTCACAAATCCCCTACATTTGCCCCAAGCCCCTTGGCCCACACTGTTAAATATTCTAGAGCTGTCCTCATGGCATAGGCCTCCTTCTGCTGTGGGTGACATTGTGGTCTGAGGCCATCAATTGGACCACAATACTTGATACCTCCCCACTTCTCCTTTTGTCATTTCAGGCAGTTTGGTAGGATGGAGGCAGGAGAAAGGTAACAGTGGATGTTATGTGCACTGCCGTCCTCCACTGCCGCCACCGCTCCCCCCCACCACGAGCTTTCCAAATTGCTGTCAAGGAAGTATAAAATTCATGTCCGTATCCTTGAACTTAAGAATATAATACTTGCTTTCCAATTTCATAACCACCCCATTTTTCTGTTTCATTGCAGATGGGCCGTCTCTTCTGTCATGACACGCCAGAATCAAATTCCAACTGAAGATGGCTCCCGGGTCACTTTGGCTCTTATACCTCTGTGGGATATGTGTAATCACACCAATGGCTTGGTGAGTGAAAGCATCCATTTATACCCTGTAGAGGACTTTTTTTGGCCGCTTCTAAAGTTCACTGTAAAGTAACACAGCAAGTAACCCAATAACAAACAAGTTCAGGCATTGTCTTTTCAAAATAACGTTAAGTGGTGGCCTGCCTATTAGATCCACAGTCATCAAGTGTACACAGCCACACCCAGTGATGCAAATGTTGTGTAAGCTCATCTGTGATTTCTTTTTTAATGGATATTGGTGTGCGTCTTCTTGGATTCAACAGGGTAGATAAACAAAAGCTGTTTTGTCTCCTGGGCCACTGAAGAACAAAGGGATAGCATCTTAAAATTAGGACCAGACCTTTCAGTAGGGAAATCAGGAAGCACATTTTTGCACAAAGAATATCAGGAATCTGGAAATCTCCCAAGGTTGTTGACTTATAGAATGATTAAAACTTTCAACACTGAGATCTAGAGATTTTTATTAGGTAAGGGTATCAAGACTTATGGATCTATGGAGACAAATGGATACAATTCAACCATGCTAGTCTGGGCTCTAGTGGCTGAATAACCAACTCCTGCATCAACTGATACCACAAAATTGGCCAATTGGTTCTGATCTGCCAGGTGAGAAGGGTTAATACAGATAAACTATCATTGAATAACTGCTGATCTGCCAATCATCCTTTCAATCAGAGATATTTTCTAATCAATTTATTCAGGAATGCTATTACACACCTCTGAAGTAGGTGTAACTTGAATCTAGGCCTCCTTACTCGGAGGTAAGAACTGTACCGCTTAATAACAAGGGCCCTCCAGGGGTCCTGTGTTCATGTCCCACTTGCTCGAAAGGTGCGTCATAATATCTCTGAGCAAGTTGATTAGAAAATATCGAAGGAAAACCGGAAGTGAGGCAATCCAGCTCAACGGACTCCAGCGTTTAAAAACCAGGCAGGAAAACACACCGACGCTTCATCGGAGGCTGCACTGATGATGTTACCCAGCATGGTAATGAAACGTCTGCGGAACAACAAACCAGCTCGGCGAGCCAACCAGCCTCAACAACCACAACCCGAGCTACAAATCTACTCCAAAACCTTATAGAAAATATCTATCAGGGAATAGCTTTAGGGGCTCATGTGAGGGAGTGGTAGTGTCCCTACCTTTTGAGTTAGTAGGCTTGGTTTCAAATCTCTCCTGTTCCAGAGTTCTATAATAATGATCAGAAAATATCTATCAATGAAGAACCACAAAGTGTTTTGTGGCACACTGGCAGTGTCCCTAACTCTGAGCCAGGAGGACTGGGTTCAAGTCTCACCTGCTCCAGAGACGTGTCATCACATCTCTGAACAGGTTGATTAGGAAAATATCTAGGCACTTATTGGATTAAGGACTGGAGAAAGTTTCACTGGTAAGCAAGTGCAAATCCTCCAAAAAAAGAACTGACTCTCCATACACTTAAAACCCCATGAGAGTGCAAAAATTGCGATGAAATTTTGTTCTTAGAATGTGTAAACTGTAATTTTATATCACCTTTATCAAAAGGCAAAGGGAGAAGAAATTCCATCTTTGATTTAAACTGCTGTTTTACACAGACTTTGCTTTTATTCAGACCCAAGGCCATTTAGGATCCTGATTGCATGCCTGCCTTACCTTCAGTCCTTTTTTTTGTAGATTACAACTGGTTACAATCTGGAGGATGATCGGTGTGAATGTGTCGCTTTACAGGATTATAAAGCCAAAGATCAGGTGGTGGAAGTTTTATTTTCATGCTTCTAGAAGGTTTTGTAAGCATCAACAATTTCATTACTGTAGTAGTATTTGCATCTTAACTAAAACAAGGAAAACAGAAATTTCAGTGAAATCCTAATACTTACTTAGATCACTACCTTTGAAATCCTGGTTTTAAACTGGCTCCCTAACTCGCAATTTTTCTGCTTTTAAGTCCTCACTCCTTTTGTTAATCTGTTTTTGACACCGATGTGTACCATGACTACAAACAGTTCACCCTCCCATTCCAGAATGTCCTGTAGCCACTCCAAAACATACTTGACTCTAGCACTCAGGAGGTAACATATCATCTTGGAGTGTCATTTACAGCCACAAAGGCATCAATCTATTCTCCTCTATTGAAGTTGCCTATTATAATAGCATTTTCACACTTGTTCCCCTGTCCCGTGCAGCAGAGGCAAACGTAGTTCAACAAATTTGGCTGTTGCTACTTCCCTGTGAGACTCCCCACTTCAAGGAAACGGCCAGGAGAGTTTCCTGCACTGCCTGCTTAATCTGATTTCTCTAACTAGTGGTCATCCATTTCCTCCCTACCTAAGAGTCTTAGCCGGCTGACTAACCACCCCTCTGCACATGTTATCCAAGGTACTCTTAGCCTTGTGCCTGCTCCATGTGTCCAAAGCTGACACTTAAGCTTCTGGGAGCTGTGGGTGAAGATCTTCCCTGCATGCATTCTGGTCCCGGACACTGAAACTGTTCCCAACTTCCAATGTAAGGTAGGAGGAACACTCTGCAGTCTTGAGTTCTCATTCTGTGACTTACCCCTTTGAATTAAACCCATGGATTGCCCTGAAAATCTAATAATATTAATTACTCTAGGGCCCTTCTTCTCTGGATCTCTGCAGTGTGACCTTGCAAACTATAAAACCAAGGCAAAGACCTTAGAAACTATAAACAATAAAAATACACATACAGTCAGCTGCGTCCTCTTGCCCGGCGTTATTTTTTGACACACTTCTCATACTGCCTGCCTGTGATGTTGACTGTGCAAATACTGCATGTTGTATTCTGTCCAACGCCTAAAGAAAGGATGAGTCACACCCCAAATCCCATAGTAGGATAACTGAGACTTTGGGTTTATAAAAATAAATGATTTTGCCAATTTTTTTGAACTTCCTGCTAATTTTAATCCTATGCATGAGTTCATCCAATTTTTCAGGTAGTTTATGCATTCTTGAGTGTGCTTTCATTTTAGTTTTAAGACTGCTTTACCATCTACAATTTTTCTCCAATGCACAAAGAGCATGTGAAATTAAATTGGGACTAAAGCTTGATGATGACAAACCCAGATGCTTCAAGGTCATTGAAATAAGTCACATTGTAAATTGGGACAGAGCAATGGGGAGCCCAGGCTGACATTGCTGTCCTTTGCTAAATTAACTGTAAAGAATCCTGTGAAGTATTAGTAAAACTTATGATGCCTTAAGAATCGGTTAGTTTGCTAAATCATGAGTATTGCAAGCTGATAAACTCCGGTGCATTGGCGCAAAGAAAACTTGAATTGGATTTATAGCATGTCATCTGTCACTTCCTATTTAGATGATTGGTTTCATTGATCAGTTTTTTTGTTATGTTTTATTTGGAATTTGTTAACCACTTTTTAGTTTGAAATTTGTGAATCCTCAGCAAATTTCTCCTCTTAAGGTTAGAACAATTATGTTCATATATAAATGCTGAATGTAATTATATTGCCTTCCTGTGCCATTTTTACGCAAGTGTGAATCTGTTTGTTTTAAATTTTAAAATAGCATGCACAGGAATTTAGTACAAGCTCATTAAAGAAAAGAAAGAACTTGCAATTATATTTCATGACCTAGGATGTCTGATGCACTTTAGAGCCCAATAAAGTACTTTCAAAATGTATACTGAAGAAGTATTTGGTGAAATTTTAACTCATTCTAAACCACACCATTTATTTACACAGTTAAAAATGGCTGTAATCAGTATTCTATAAAATGTGGCTAAGCCTCACAAAAATCAACGAAATAAATTACCAGATAGCCTGTTTTTGGTATGAAAACACAAAATGCTGGAAATACTCATCAGTTTAGGCAGTATCTGTGGAAAGAGAAATGGACTTCATGTTTCAAGTTGTTACCTTTCATCAGAATTCTGTTTTAGGTGTTGACAAAGAGAGAAATATTGACCAGAACACGAAGGAAGAACTCTTCTGTTTCTTTTTGAATAGTGCCATTGGACCACTTACTTCTAACTGAGTGAGCAGATGTTCTACATAGCCAAAGATTTGTATGTTGTAAAATAATTGCACTTTAAGACAGTGCATTCCAAATTTATTGCTCCTGTGATCTCATTTGGAAGATTAAAGGTTTTCAGGGCCCCAAGTGAGACTGAGTGGGAGTAAAGTTTGCAGCCGATATTAGCATATAACTTAGTTCACTTCCTCATATGCTGTCTTTCCTTCTTGCGCTCACTATTGCTTTTACACTCACTCTGTGTCAAACTACTCATTACTGTTTTTCTCTCACACTCACTCACTGGCTCTCTCCCAAACTCCCTCTCTCCCACACTCGGTCTCTCCCACACACACACACTTACACTCTCTCACCTTTGTGGGGAAAAGGAGCCATTTTTGCAGCCGTGTTAAACTCACCAGGGAGAGCAGACTCCAACAGTCTCCGACAGAGCCATTGAGGACATCAGATATGCAAGATAAAAAGGAGGCACATTGATTCTGGCACATCCTAGTAGACCAATAATCACTGTTGTTCATAATAACAGCAGTCATTGGCAGATGAATCTGTCCATGGGATGGTCTGCACCAGATTAGCAACACTTGTTACTGACTGTCCCAACTGACAAGATTCTCAGCCCCACATTTAGTACTTCGGAATCTTGCTACATTCCACAGCCACTATTACAAGATTTGGGGGTTGCAATCCCAAAATTTCATAAACAAACCTCATTGAAGATCATGACCCACAGTTCAGGAAGAGTATTACCTCTTACTTGAGGATTTTGTTTCTATGGTCAGACTGAGATTCCAGTCACTTGCCTTTCTTGAAAATCTGGATGACCTTGACCTTCTAGCACTTGCTCATGGCTCCTGTGACATCAGTCTGGGCTGCTGAGTGCAATAGGTTGAAAATACCCATGACACTAATGACACAAATTATGCGGCATTATAAGCAGTTAAAATGGAAGCTACAATTGCCAATATTAATTGACTAACTGAATGTGCTAAACTTGGGCAAATGTGACAACTTCTACTTTGGACCTGAAAGGATAGAAGAGATTTTTTATGAAAGACTAAAAGTTAGTACTAGCGAGTCCAAAGAGTGGAAATCAAAGTATATAGTTTACTAACATTGTCACCAACCGCTAAGAACATGGTCAAAAAGGTTAATTGATGTCAGCCTTCATATCTAGAGTACTGGGCATCGGACCCTGCAAAGTTCGTGGGGATAGGGGAGTAGTGTAAATTTACCGCAGTGATAACCAGAATTCCAAGGATTAAATTATAAGGAAAACTATGCAACTGGGATTATAATCCAGAAACATAAAATGTTAAGGGGTAATTTACTGAAAGTTTTTCAGATATGGAGGGGAGCAGGTAGTGGAGATAAGGTGAAACTATTTCTGCTGCTTCTGGACTCCAAGGCTAAAGGTTTAAAACTTAGAGCCTGATCTTTCAGGAGTGATATTAGGAAACACTTGAGCAACACAAAGGACAATGTGGTGATTTTCTGGTGATTGGTGATTGGTGCTCAAGTGATCAAATGTTAATTTTAATACTAAGATTGATAGCTTTTTGCTGTCCAAAGGCATTAACAAACATCCAGTAATGGCAGGTACATGGAGTTCAGTCACAAATCAGACATCATATTTCTGAATGGCAGAACAGGCTTGAGGGACTAAATGACCTATGCCTGTTCATTTGTTTCACACAGGAAATCCCTGAATTGCTTTGAAAATTGCACTGACAAACTAAGCTGAAACTGCCAGAACGCAATCCTCTCTGTTTAAGGAGATATTCTCAATACTCTGTTAAAGTCGACATCTGCAAAAAGCAGGAGCATTAGCAACTGAGACTTAGAGGTCATTGTTTATGGACATTTTCCCAGTCAATTTGTGTTGATCTAACACTTTGCATTTGAATCTTTCAGATTTATATTTTCTATGGAACTCGTTCCAATGCTGAGTTTGTGATACATAATGGATTTTTCTTCGATAACAATTCGCACGACAGAGTGAAAATAAAGCTGGGAGTGAGTAAAAGTGACCGCCTTTATGCTATGAAAGCAGAAGTTTTAGCTCGTGCTGGCATACCAACGTAAGTATTTTAAAAAGAGGTTTCATCCATATCTCTTCCCATTCCATGGGCAGTCGCCAACTAAGATGAATTCTGCCATTTCTTCAGGAATTAATGAATAAATATTATCAATCAGCATTTGGTTATACAGAACACAAGTATTGGTGGGAAAAAGGCACATTTTGTTAAAGCATTTCAGCTTGCACTCAGCAGGACACTTGCAATGGAAAAGGATTTTTTTTTATATTATTTTAAAAGAGTGTTAATTGATTCACATGTGGATTGGTAGAGCCATTGCTATGAAGAATGCACCAGTTAGATGATGGCTGCCATGTTTTGTGTAAATTTAAACCAGCAGATTGACCCCGATTGATTAAGATATTACCAGACAGTCATAGAGTCATACAGCATGAAAACAGACCCTTCAGTCCAACTCGTCCATGCCGACCAGATATCTTGTATGAATCTAGACCCATTTGCCAGAATTTTACCCGTATCCCTCTCAACCCTTCCTATTCATATACCCATCCAGATGCCTTTTAAATGTTGTAACCGTACCTGTCTCCTCCACTTCCTGTAGCAGCTAATTCTATATATGCAAAGTTGCCCCTTAGGTCCCTTTTATATCCTTCCCCTCTCACCTTAAACTTATGTCCTCTAGTTTTGGACTCCCCCACTCTATTTACCCTATCTGTTCCCCTCATGATTTCATAAACCTCTACAAGGTTATCCCTCAGCCTTCGATGCTTCAGGGAAAATGGCCCCAGCCTATTCAGCCTCTCCCTATAGCTCAAACCCTCCAACCCTGGTAACAACCTCGTATATCTTTTCTGAACCCTTTCAAGTTTCACAACGTTTTTCCTATAGGATGGAGACCAGAATAGCACGCAATACTTCAAAAGTGGCCGAACCAATGCCCTGTACAGCCGCAACATGACCCCCCCAACTCCTATCCTCAATGCACTGACCAATAAAGGCATACCCAACGCTGCCTTCACTATCCTGTCTACGTGCGACACCACTTTCAAGGAACTCTGAACCTGCACTCCCAGGTCTCTTTGTTCAGCAGCACTCCCCAGTGAACCAGAGAATGGTTGCCCAAATGCCAACTTTGTTAAGTTTAACAGATGTAGAGTGTGTCTATGTTCTTTCTGCCGGCAAAGAACAGGGTCCAGTATCTTAATGTATGATGGAGTATATGTAAGATTGTCAATTGGGCTTGCAGCGTGGTGACGTTGTTTATGCTGGAAGCTACGTGTAGTAATACTCTGCTCCTATGATGCTGCTTGGCCTGCTGTGTTCATCCAGCCCTGCACCTTGTTGTCTCTGTAGTAATACATAGACCCTTTTTCTTTGCAAACAGAAAGCACATGTGCACACTTCCACCTGTTTCAACTTAACAAAATAGGTGATAGCCAATTTTTTCCTGGTCAAGGGTTCCTTACACAGGGCAATTGGAGTCAATCTGCCAGGTTTAAGTGTATACAAAGTTTGTCTCTTAATTGTCAGTCATCACCTAACAGCATTTTCTGTGGCAATATCTCTTCTAATTACCAACTAATCATCACTCTTTTCTCATGCAAAATAAAACGTTATTTTCCCCTTATTATTCTTGCTAACACCTGTTGTATGATATGTTACACCCCATACACAATACAAATTAATTCTGATAAAGACTTGTTTTAATGATAGTTTTTTGAATTTTCCCTTTTCATGAAGTACCCTGTCTTTCAGGACTTAAGGCCATCACTAAATGCAGCCCATGGGGTCCTTGCCACTAATTTTTCATGGATGGAAAATCAAGGCCAGTGCATCTATGACTCTGGAAAGTATTCAGCTAGTGGGTAAGTATCTCAACCAGTACTAAACTTATAGAATTGCCCGCTTCATCTTTAATTGTGGCAGCCATAAACAAAGAGGAAGTAATTGTGGTTGCATCTCACCATGATAAAATATGTTGTTGGGCCAGGATCGGGTGAGGAATTATATAATCTGTAGTTATTTTAATATTCATTGAATAGGTAACATGAAAGTCTTTTAGTAAAAGTGCCTGTACATGTAGATTGAAGGGGCAAAACTATTTTCCGTTTAAAACGTAAAGTGTTAAGACAGTAATCTGCAGTGTTTCAGCCAAACTGATCTGAGGCTTTAGTATGGTAAATGCGATTCTTTTGTAGGTTGACGATTACAATATAATTTCGCCCAGCCTGAAAATCCCTACTTTTCCTTCACCAAGCTATAGACTTAGTCTGTGTCCTTCTTTCAGGTGAGAAATATAGACTGTAGTCGACCTGTTCAATCAATACTAAAATATTTATGAAGGGTGCAGCCCTCTCACCCAGTCCTGATCCAACAACATATTTTATCATGTGTAGAGGCAACCACAATTATCTCCTCTTGGTTCATGGTTGCTGCAATTACAGATGAAGGGGGCACTACTATGAGTTTACTACTGGTTGAGATTCTCACTCACTAGCTGCATATTATTCAGAAATTATCCCTAAAGCCTTTTAAGAATTATTAGTCTACAAAAGATAAGCATTGCATTTAGCACAACAAGAATTCTGAGTTTTCTTTGTACACTTGTTAAATACATTGCAACTTTGGTGTAGGTATCTAATATGCCATCACCTCAGTTCATAACACTAATTAGTAGCAACAGCATATAAAATGCTCTCTGCCACCCTACTCTCATCCACACACATTTTGAATGGCTTACGAAGACAGCCTTATAAAGATAGAATTGAAAGAGCAATTTAAGTGGAATCAATCCTGTCTTTTCTCACCAGAGTCATATTGTTTAAAGCATCAGTGAGACAATAAAATGTAAAATAAAATGTTTTGAATGGTGTTTCTGCTTACATGGCAAAAATTTAGTGCTTTAAAAATAGCTCCGCAAAGTTAAATTGAGACCTGTTACAGTTGAAAGCAGGTGAAAATTTGAACCAATTGAGTTCAAATTAACAAAGGGAAATGAAAATGCCCCTCTCCTGAAATTTTAGCGCCAGCGTGGCTACAAAACATTAGGGTATAGACAAGTGATAGGGTTTTCATGGTGCAGTGGTAGTGTCCCTGCCAATGAGCCAGAAAGCCTGGGTTCAAATCCCACTTGCTCCAGAGGAGTGTCATAGCACATCAGAACAGATTAATTGAAAATATTTCTGTGAATAAGTGTTAGGGCCCTTTGGTGCAGTAGTGATATCCTAACCTCTAATCTAGGAAGCCCAAGATTAAATCCCACCTGTTCCAGAGGTGTATAAATAACATGGTTGAATAAGTTGATTAGAAAATATCAGTAGATAAGTTTTTGGGGCCCAGGTTCAAGTCCCACCTGCTCAAAAGGTTTGTCATAACATCTCTGGACAGGTTGATCAGAAAATATATCGAATCTAGTTGGTTTGATGCTGCCTTTCCATGGGAGCAAAATATGGTGTCTACATGAATTGGTACAATTGAATGAGATTCGGTATAGGCCCTTTGTAGTGTGGTGGTAGTGTTCCTAACTCTGAGCCAGAAGGCAAGTCCCTACCAGAGTCATGCAGCACGGAGACAGGCCCTTCGGCCCAAACTGGTCCGTGCCGACCAAACTGTCCACCCATGCTAACCCCGTTTTCCTGCACTTGGGCCATATCCTCCTAAACCTTCCCTATCCATATATTCTTCCAAATGCCTTTTAAATTTTACATTTGCTAATGCACCTGCCTCAACCACTTCTGCTGGCAGCTCATTCCATATGCATGCCACCATCTGTGTAAAAAAAGTTGCCCCTCAGGTTCCCATGTATTCTTTCCCCTCTAACCTTAAACTGATTCCCTTTAGTCCTTGATTCCCCAACCCTGGGAAAAAGACTGAGTGCATTCACCCTGTCCATGCCTCTCAAGATCCTATACACTTATGTAAGATCACCCCCTCAGTCTCCTACACTCTAAAGCAAAAAGTCCTAGCTTGTCCAACCTGTCCCTATAACTCAGTCCTTTGAGTCCTGGCAACATTCTTGTAAATTTCTTCTGCACTCTTTCCGGTTTAATAGCATCCTTCTTACAGCATTCCTGCTCCAGAGGTGTGTCATAACATCTCTGAATAGGTTGATTAGAAAATATCTGTATACAAATGTCTAAAGTACAGAAAAAACTACTATAATTAGCGTAGTGTAGCCATGAACCATTTCTTTTGCTCCTTAGTCCATGATATTTATCCTTAAATGCTGAGAACCTCCTATATGATGCTTTCTACTTGGTTTAACTCAAAAGTGTCGACAGACTTTTCCACCACCCAACTGAAAGTAGATGCATGGAACCTAGAAGGAAGAGTGAGCAGCAAAAGTTTCAAGGAAGAAAAGAAGCAACCTTGAAAAGGTTAATGATCAGTAATTATGAAGATGGTTTTTACACATCTTGCACTGCTTGAGCAGGACATATGTGCTGGAAGATCAGGAAATCACATATTCATTATGCGGTCCACCCAAGTTAACATTCATTAATTCAGATGGGTAAAAACGTATTCAACCTGACACATTGATGCATGATCCTCCTTATCTGAAGGTACAACAGGCAATTGGTGCACGTTCGTTGGGAACCACAAGGATTGAAACTTATCTGTTATTGGTGCTGTTTAATCAGAATATGTTGTCATCAATGAATCTTATAATCTGTGGCCACTTGTTGTTCATTATATCCTATGAACTTGTTATTTAAAAATTGCTGGGTAATTTCCTTATTTGTAGTTACTGCAAAGATAACTCCCCTTTAATGCAGTTAGATGCTTGTTGAAGCTCTTGTTCAAATCATTCTGACAGACTAACTCCAGTATTCATGTGTTTCTGTTAGGTCCAGTGTATTTGCCTTGCACTGCAGTGAACCTCCTATCTCAGCCCAGCTGTTGGCGTTTCTCCGTGTCTTCTGCATGAGTGAAGGTGAAAACTTTTCCCTTTTTTTGTTTTTCAAAGGGAGTGGATATTAATTAAAAGGATTGTGGGTCAGTAATCTCAAAGAGCTAAGAATTTCTCCTTTGAGCTGCAAGAGAAGAACCTCAGCTGTTTATTACAAAGCCCTAAAGGGAAATCATTCATGAGAAGTTATTTGTGATTATCTATACCATTGACTAGGTGGTTTTGGATTTGCTGCTGATGCATGGCTTTGTGGACATTGGCCAGCATACAATCTGCTGGAGATGCATAATGATGTTCTTGCTCACTTCTGTCTCTTCACCCACATAATTTACTCCAGTCATCACTGACTGTACCTTTTGCTATTTCTCACTGTCCTAAGTAATACTAGGTCAGCATTAGGGATGGCAAATGCTTTTATTTATTGCCTTTAATGTAATTGTTAAAAGGCTACCTTGATTTGTCACTTTGGTGTATTGAGAACTGCAATTAATATTGTCATTTCTTCCTGCAAATGTTATCTCTTTATCACCCCCATCCCCAAATAAAATGCTTTGTAGAGATTTATGCAATCCCGTCTTGTGCACCCTGATTGTTCTTTGTTCTTTGTTTTTGACATATTGTGAACTTTTCCTGTAAAGTCAGGTGCATTGAATTTCATTGGTGAAAACTTCTGTCTGTAGCATTTATCCCTAATTTTTCTCTTAAAATAAGTAACAATATTTATTACATAAGTAAGGAAAGAAGTCTGTTTAAGTATTAAGTCATGATGTTCTGGTCTTGCTGTATGAGGCACGTATAGTAGGCCACCTGGTCTTTTCTAGCCTGGATGTTTGTATTTTGCTATCAAAGTGAATTGTTATTTTATGCTGTATCTTCAGAAAGAGTTGTTTTTCGGCCAGTAAGCATGAGAAAGCACTTGTGTCCAAATTTATATAATATTAACTGGTTACTCAATTCACTCCTACTTTATTGCCAAGCGCTTATTGTGAGGTGGTTCTACGTAGCAACGTTTTCTCAAACTTTGTCAAAGTATTTTCTTCCACCCAATGAGAGCCATGTCACCTTCTCAAATGCTTGCACTGATTTAGAGTTAAAGGGCATTACTTTCGGCACTCTATTTGGTGCATTTTCCAGCAACTTATGTTGAATCTTTTGATGTAGAGATTTTATAGTGTACATGGTACATCATGTGAATTCAATCAGCAGTCATGTAAGAGTACATACCACACTGATGATAAATGTTGCGTCAATTAAACTGACAAAGATAATTAAAAGGTTGCCTGTATTACAAGATTGCAGGACAAACTTGTTGATCAAATAAAAATAAAAAAAGTTTCTCTGCAGTTTTGATTTTCAAATTTAACAACTCGTTTAGCATTTAGTTTTTAAAACTTTACGTAGTTCAAGAATTACTGATAACTCCCATTTTACAGCACACTGTTGTTTGTGGAATTCTGTAATCTTAAAAATAAACATTTGTAGTCTTTTGGATTATGTGAAGGAAGTGAGTTTGCTGTGAAAATGCTGATTTTTTTTTAAATGATGTCACTATGAAAAGAGTTTTTTTTTGTTTCTTTTGCTGGACAGATCTTAAATGGAGTCGGGCAGAGATATCAAAATAGTGTATAGGTGCTGAGTAGTTTTTGCTGCTTTGAGTTAGCTTCTCTCTTTCAGCCTTCTTTTTCTGCTGGAGCATGGCAGCAGAATCAGGGAGGGCTCCCACAAATGGTGAAATAAATTTCACTACATACTCCTTGCACCACCAACATGTTGGTTATTTATTTAGGATTTTAAATGGGACCTACTTAATAATTGTTTCCTCACATTTGTGAGACAAATCATAATAGTCAAAAGTGGGAATTGTACAGTCAGCATGATTGTCATTCATGTTGACTAATCACTTTTCCGGATCACTTAACAAAGATTTAATTATTTGATTTTGTATCCTCATCCGGATCAGATCTTTGTACTTGTCCTGGGACAAACCATTCCTTTTGCTTTTTCTGGGATCTCACTGTGTGTAAATTGGCACAGTACAATAATTACTGTAGAGTTCAAGAACAGCTTCATCCCTGCTGTTATTAGACTTCTGAATGGACCTCTTAGATGTTATATTTAGTGTTGGTCTCACTCTCTGTGCACCTTCTCTGCACCCATAACATTGTATTTTTCTCTCTGTTCTGTTACCCTAATACATTTTGTATGGTATTACCTACCTGTAATGCACGCAAAGCAAAACTTTTTACTGTACCTAGGTACATATGACAATAATAAATCAAATTAAATACTTCAAAAGTACTTTATTTGCTGAGAAGCTAATTGAGATACTTTAAAGGATTGTTATTTGTCTGTGGGATTTGGGTGTCACTGGGTGGGCCAACATTAACTGCCCATCTGTAGTTACCCTGGAGAAGGTGGTGTGAACTGTCTTCTTGAACTGCTGCATTCCTTGGCACATCGGGACACTGACAGTGCTGTTAGGAGCTCCAGATTGTGAAAGGTGCTGTATGAAAATAATTATTTCAGTAACTGAGGGTGTGTGTTCCGTTCTATGTGCAGATTACATTTGCATTAAATTTTACACAGCCACGTACTTATTTTGGACAACTTGCTCTGCCATTCCTCTGATTCCATTAACCCTTCTAGTTTGGTATCCTCAGCAATTACTACCACTTCGTACACTGATACTCAATCTTCCATTTAATTAAATGAAAAGTTTTTTTAGTATCAGAACTAGGGCATCCCACTCGTTGCTCTCTTCCAACCCAGCAGCCAACATAATTCCATTAAGGAATTCTCAAGTTTTTATCGTCCGTCTGCTTTTTATATTTAAAACTGGAGTTCCACCTAAATCTCCACTACTTTGTGTTTGACTAATAGCTAGTCATAAGGCACATTTTCCAATCCTTTTTGGAGACCTAAGGACTCCCCTTGTCACCATTTGCTACTTCCTTAAAGAAGCTGAGGAAACTGGACAAGCAGGATTTTCCTTTTCCTGAATCCATGTTGGTTACTACACACAAGAAAAGGAGTAAATCATTCAGTCCCTCAAGCCTTTGTCACCATTCAGTTCATTGAGAATTCATATTTATGTGCCTTTGTTCTTTCTCCCTTGATCCAACGGAAATATATTGCTCTGGGTTTTATAACTTTCAATTGACTCAGCATCCACAGAAAGTGAATTCTAGATTTTTTTCTGCTCTGAGCAAATACGAACATCATGATTTCATGCCCAAACAATTGGGCTTCAATTTTAAAATTCTGCCCTCTGGTCCTGGATTCTTCCACCAGAGAGAATAATTTATTTATATGTATGCTAATGAATCTTTACATTACTTTGTGGAGGTTGCAACCTGTCTCTTAATTTAACCCTTTAAATGATGCTATCTTTCTGAGAGTCTGATATGAAATTCAAAATGTTTAAAATCAGAGATTAGCTAAATTCTGAAGATTTTCCAGTCAATCTTTATAAGTCACAATTAGATTTAAAATAGAATAGTTGAGAAAGATACAAGGTTCAACAGAACATGACTGGAATTGATACTATCTGCATTTCTGCGTTCATATGTATGAAGAACCTTTCGCTGACCCAGATTTTCTAATGTAATGTAGTTAATTAATCAACACATTTCATGGAGATAAATTGATTTCAAATCTATTGCTAAACAATTTAGATGATCCCTAAGGTCTTATTTTCTGATTACATGATATTCTTGTGTCGATCTTTGTAGGCTGGATTGCACTGTGATCTCTAGAGAGACAGCAGGCCTGTTCCAGTATCATGACGTAGGATTTTGATTATGCTTAACCATTCTGTTGTGTTTAACTAAATCAAAGGTCACAACTTCAGGGCACCCTGAAATACCTTTGAACAGTAGTTATCCCTTATCTAAGGAAAGCTTTACTGGCATTAGAGGCAAGCCAGAGAATGCTCACTAGGTTGATTCTGGATATGGAGGGATGGTCTAACACTGAGAACTTGAGTAGGTTGGATTTTTACTTTTTGGCATCTAGAAGGATGAAAGTCGACCATATTGAAACATATGAGATTCTTAGGGGTCTTGACAGAGTAGATGTGGAAAGGTTGTGGGAGAGTCTAGGACCAGAAGCGTAAATTGGGCTAAGGGATAATCTAGTTAGACAAAGATGATGAGGAATTTCTTCTGGGATAGTCAATTTGTGTCATAGAGTCAAAGACTCATTCGGATTGGAAACAGTCCAACTTGTCCACGCTGACCAGGTGTCGTAAAATCATCTAAAATCATTTGGCCCATATCCCTTTAAACCCTTCCTATTCTTGTACCTGTCCAGATGCATTTTAAATGTTGTAATTGTACCAGCCTCCATCACTTCCTCTTGCAGCTCATTCCATACACGCACCTCCCTCTGCATGAAAAAGTTGCCCCTCAGGTCCCTTTTAAATCTTTCCCCTCTTACCTTAAATGTGTGCCCTCTAATTCTGGATTCCGCCACTCTGGCAAAAAAGACCTTGGGTATTCACCCTATCCATGTCCTTCATGATTTTATAAACGTCTGTAAGATCACCCCCTCAGACTGCAATGCTCCAGGGAAAAAAATGCTCCAGCCTATTCAGCCCCTTCCTATAGCTCAAACTCTCCAATCCCAGCAACATCCTTTTAAATCTTTTCTGAACCATTTTAAGTTTCACAACATACTTCCTATAGCAGGAAGACCAGAATTGAATGCAGTATTCTAAAAGTGGCCTCATCAATGTCCTGTACGGCCATAACATGATGTCCCAATTCCGATATGCAGTGCACTAATCAATGAAGGCAAGTGTGCCAAACGCATTTTTCACCATCCTGTCTACATGCAGCTCCACTTTCAAGAAACTACAGTGCGCCAGCAATCTTAGGTCTCTCTTTTTCGGCAACACTCCCCAGGGCCGCAATGTTAAGTGTGTAATTCCTGCCCTGATTTGCCTTACCAAAATGCAACACCTCACATTTATCAAAATGAAACTCCATCTGCCACTTCTCGGCCCATTGGCCCTTCTGATCAAGGTCCTATTGTATTCTGAGAGAACTTTCTTCACTGTCCACTAGACCACTAATTTTGGTATTTCTGCAAACTTGAATGGCAGAACAAACTCAATGGGCCAAAGGTGAAGGACAGGGTGGGGCCCATAAGGAACAAGCAGGGTAAGCTTCTCACCGAAGCAAAGGGTATGACAGAGGTATTAAAAGAATACTTTTGCTTCTGAATACAAAATTAGAAAATGGTGACAGTAGCCTAGTTGAAAATGTGGGTGTTGAGCAACTGAGCAATATGGTTATGGATAAAGAAGAGGTGCTAAAAAGTACTCCAGGTAGAGAAGTTACCAGGCACAGATGGGATGAATCCTAGATTGCTGAGAGAGGTTAAAGGAGCAAATTGCGGAGCCATTGGCAGAAATTTTCAAGGCCTCTCTGAGCACAGGATTAGTCCCAGGGGACTGGAGGATTGCAAATGTGACTCTGTTGTTTAAGAAAGGGGCAAAGGGTAACCCAGGGAACTACAGACCTATCAGCTTGATGTCACTAGTGGAAAAGCTGATGGAGGCTGTTTACAGGATAAGGTAAATATACACTTAGAGAAAAACAAGTTAAAGCTAGACAGTCAACATGGCTTTGTCAAGAGAAGGTCACGTCTGACAAATTTGATTGAGTTCTTTAACGAGGTGACGTTGAGGGTAGTGCAGTAGATGTTATATATTTGGAGTTTGAGAAAGCATTTGATACTTAACTATTCCTTCTTGAAACAATATCATCAGTACATAACCTAAGTAAAAGCATAAAATGCCAGGAATACCCTGTAAATTGGTCAGATAAAGATGAGCAAATGTTTATGATCCCAGCTAATGTTGTTACTGACAAATCAGATCCCAGAATAAAATTTGAATTGATAAATCAGGTTTTTTTCATTTGACATAGTGGTCTTTCATTGAAACATAAACACACAAGGCTGCAGACTTGTTTTAACAAAAAAGCAGAAGTTTATTACACAAAAGAAAGAAATGAAAATAGACCAAACCAAGCCATCCAAAACTAACAGTTTGAACACTTTCAAAACTCATGGCAAAATGAAATCCCACCTAATCCTCAACACCATCTCTTTATAGTTACTCAAAAAAAACAAATTTCTTCTCCATTATACCTGTAGGCTTTGATTTTAACTGCTTTTTCTTTGTTCTGGTCCTATAAGGTCTTTTCCCTGGAATATTAACCCAACTAAGTTCTCAGACCTGATAAGCTACAGAGTTCTAACCAACAGTGCTGGTCTTGAAATTTCACAAACCAAACTCTTTCCCTGAGAGAATTCCCCACTATCAATGTCCTGGTTGTTAAAAGATGCAGCAGGATATAGATCAGTTGCAGATATGGGTGGAGGAATGGCAGATAGAGGTTGGTCCAGGTGAGTATGAGGTGCTGCACTTTGGGAGATCAAATGTTAAGGAAATGTATACAGTTAACGGCAAGACTCTGAACAGTATTGATGTTCAAAGGGATCTTGGGTTTCAAGTCCATAGGTCCCTGAAAGGTGCCACGCAAGCAGGTAGTGGGAAAGAAGGCATATGACATTCTTGCCTTTACTGGTCAGAGAATTGAGTACAAGAGTCAGGATGTCATGTTGTAGCTTTATAAGACTTTGGTTAGGCCACACTTAGAGTATTGTGTTCAATTCTGGTCGCCACATTACAGGAAGGATGTGGAGATTTTGGAGACGGTGCAGAAGAGGTTTACCACGATGCTGAGGGTATGAGCCATAAGGAAAGGCTAGAAAAACTCTGGTTGTTTTCTCTGGAGCAGCAGAAGCTGAGGGGAGACTTGATAGAAGTCTATACGATGATGAGATGCATAGATTGGGTTGACGGTCAGAATCTTTTTCCCAGAGTTCAAATGTCTAATACTGGGGAGCATGCATTTAAGGTGAGAGGGGGTAAGTTCAAAGGAGACGTGAAGGGCAAGTTTTTTTTACACTGTCTTAGGGGTCTGGAGCATGCTGCCAGGGGTGGTGGTAGAGGCAGGTACGATTTAAGGGACTTTTAGATAAGCACATGAATATGCAAGGAATGGAGGGATATGGACCAAGGGCTGGCAGAAGGGATTAGTTTAATTTGCTGTCACGTTCGGCACAGCAACGTGGGCTGAAGGGCACGTTCCTGTGCTGTACTCTTCTCTGTTCTATCCTGGGGTTTACCATTGGCCAGAAATTTCACTGGAGTTGCCACATAAATATATGGCTAGAAAAGCAGATCAGAGGCCAAGCATACTATGGCAAGTAATTCACCTCCTGATGACCCCCACCCCCCAACCAAAAGCCTGTCCCATCACCATTGGGTGGCACGGTGGCTCAGTGGTAAGCAGTGCTGCCTCACAGCGTCAGGAACCTGGGTTCAATTCCACCCTCGAGCAACTGTCTGTGTGGAGTTTGCACATTCTCACCATGCCTGCGTGGGTTTCCTCCGGGTACTCGGGTTTCCTCCCACAGTCCAAAGATGTGCAGGTTAGGTGGATTGGCCATGGGAAATGCAGGGTTACAGGGAAAGGCAAGGGGGATAGGCCTGGGTGGGATGCTCTTTGGAGGGGCGGTGTGAACTTGTTGGGTCGATTGGCCTGTAGGGATTCTATGATTTCTATGATCTCTACCTGCTCTGAACAATCTAATTTTTCTAGGAGAAACTATACTTACATCTGATTCCAGTCAAGACATCTTCAAACTACCAAATAGCTTTCCAAGCTCCAGACTTTTCTAATTAAAAATCAAATCTTGATTAGTCTAAACCAAAAAGCAAGCTAATGTCTTTCAATGTTTTCTCTTTCCTGTCATAAACCCCTCCAATGGAATGAACTTCCTTGAACATTCCAGGTGGCCCTGTAGTCACATGCTCCCTGACACATACTGTTTTAAAATCATGTATTTCTTCACAAAAATAGGGTCACACTCAAATGCCACTAGTTCAAATTCCAAGCTCGTTAATATAGAAATCACAGACCTATCATCACTGAACACCTTTGGATTTATAAGTGACTTAGTAAGAGTGGTTTTACAAGTTTGTGTAACATTTTTAGAAAAGCAAATGAGACAGTTCTGAATTTGTGTCCTACAAATACTAGCTGCCTGAAGCTGACAATACAATGATGAAGGAGAAAATCTGAGAGGAGGGCAGCACAATGTAGCCTGGACATGTGCTTATAGCCGTTAACACACAACCCAGAAATGCGAGCTTGCTTGTTCTCTCAGGTGGACAACTGTTTGTTGAAGGATGCAGAAAGAAGTGGGGAGAAACATTCAAAGAACAAAGCAGGGGATCAAAGGGTGTAAACTACTGCTTTCTTTTCAAATTGTAATCGGCTGAAGTTACCCCAATGCTGAAATCAAGCCCCAGGGTCTTTGAAATATCAAATTTTGAATGTTCTTAATTATAATCTATGTAATTACAGATGAATTGAAAGAACATCTTGTGGGAGAACATGCAATCGATAAGATCTTTACCTTGGGAAACTCTGATTTCCCTGTAAGCTGGGATAATGAAATCAAACTGTGGACCTTCCTTGAAACCAGAGGTGCACTCCTCTTAAAAACATATAAAACTACTACTGAGGTAAGGTCTTTTATGTCTTATTTTGTTAATTTTAAAAGTATTTAAAATGGAGTACATGCAAGTGACCTAGACAGCCTTAGCAATTTTAATTTGGTATTGAGCCTAGCATGTGTGAACAGAAACTAGGAATGTATCTTATCGGATGTATTGATTTTTTTTTTTTTCAAAACAAGATGGACCCTATGTGAAGCTGAATAGAAATAGATTTATAAAATGACACTAACGGCAAAGCCTTTAAAAGAGCTATTGAATTGTGAATGAAAAGTGCAAGAGGGCATGCCAGGAACAGCACTAAGAATCCCTAAAAATATGGTACGATCCTTGTGAAGTTAAAGAACAGGACTACCTGCAAATGCTGACAGAGCTAAATGATTCCACAACCAAGGGATTAGATCAGAGCTCTGCAGTCCTGCCTCATCTCATAGTGATTGGCAGAGGAGAAGTAAATAACTCACTGGAGGAGGAACCTCCACAAAAATCTCTGCCCTTGATAATGGAGGAGCCTCGCACAGCAGTGTAAGAGGGAGGGCTGAAGCATTGCAACAATGTGAAGTGCTTGTGGATGATCTATCTCAGCATCGTCCCAGACGTCCCCAGCATCACAGATGCCAGTCTTCAGTCAATTCGATTCACTCCAGGTGATATCAAGAAATGGTTGGACGTACTGGATACTGCAACAGCAGTGATACTAGCACTGATAACGTTCCTGCAATGATGCAGATGATTTCTGCTTCAGAACTTACCATCCCCCAATCCAAGCTGTTCCCATACGGTGACAACACTGGTATCGACCTAGCAAAGTAGAAAATTTCCCAGATATATGCTGTACATAAAAAGCAGGATTTTTTTTTAATTTATTCACTTATGGGCATGGGTGTTGCTGGCTGGACGGCACTTATTGCTTGCCTTTGAGAAAGTGGTGGTAGGCTGCCTTCTTGAACCACTGCAATCCACGTGCTGTAGGTAAACTCACAATGCCCTTAGGTAGGGAATTCCAGGATTTTGATTCAGCAAAAGTGAAGGAACAGCTATTATATTCCCAAGTCAGGATTGTGAGTAGCTTGGAGGGAAACTCGCAAGTGGTGGTGCGCCCGTGTATCTGCTGCCCTTGTCCTTCTAGTTGGAAGTGATCGTGAGTTTGGAAGGTGCTGTCTAAGGATCTTTGAATTTCTGCAGTGCATCTTGTACATGGTACACAATGTTGCTACTGCGTGGCAGTGGAGAAGAGAGTGGATGCTTGTGGATGTGGTGCCGATCTAGTGGGCTGCTTTGTCCTGGATGGTGTTAAGCTTCTTCAGTGTTGATGGACCTGTGCCCATCCAGGCAAGTGGAGAGTATTCCATCACACTCCTGCCTTCTAAATGGTAGACAGACTTTGGGAGTCAGGTATTCACCACAGTATTCCTAGTCTCTGATGTGCGATTGTAGCCACTGTGTTTATGTTGCAAGTCCAGTTGAGTTTCTGGTCAATGGTAACTCCCAAGATAGTGATGGTAACATTATTGAATGTCAAGGGGAGGTGGTTGGATTGTCTGTCATTAGTGTGGTACGAATGTTACCTGCCACTTGTCAGCCCAAGCCTCAATATTGTCCAGATCTTGTCGCATTTGAACAACTACTTCTTCAGTATCTGACAAGTTGCAAATGGTGCTGAACATTGTGCAAACATCGGCAAACATCCCTACTTCTGACCTTATAATGGAGGGAAGGTCGTTAATGAAGCAGCTGAAAATGGTTAGGCATAGGACATTACCCTGAGGAACTCTTGCAGAGATGCCCTGGAGTTGAGATGACTGACCTCCAGCAACCAAAACCATCTTCCTATGTGCCAGGTATGATTCCAACCAGCAAAGAGTTTGATATCTCTAATATCTAACCCAGCATGTCTAACTCAGCCAATTACTGTCCCATCAGTCTGTTCTTGGCCATCAGTCAAGTGATGGAAGGTTTGTCAACAGTGCTCTTGCACTCCGTTTGTGTTCTGCCAGAGTCAGTCAGCTCCTGACTTCATTACAGCATTAGTTCAAACATGGGCAAAAGAGCTGAATTCAAAGGTGAAGTGACAGTGACTGCCCTTCTCTTCAAGGCTGCATTTGACTGAGTATGGCCTTAAGGAGCCCAAGGAAAACTGTTGCTGGGATTAATGGAGAGCTTTTATTGGTTGTAGTCATTCCTGGCATGTAGGAAGATGGTTGTGGTTGTTGGAGATCAGTCATATCAGCTTCAGGACATCTCCACAGGGGTTTCTCAGGGTAGTGTCCTTGGCCAAAGCATCTTCAAGTGCTTCATCAATGAGCTTTCCTCATCATTAGGTCATAAGTGGAAATGTTCACCATCGACTGCACAATGTTCAGCAGCATTTGCGACTCCTCAGATACTTGAGCAGTCCATGCCCAAATGCCACACAAGTGCCAAGCAATAAACATCTCCAGCAAAAGAGAATCTTGACTTTCAATGGCATCACCATTATTGAATTCTCACTATCAACATCGTAGGAGTTTCCATCAACCAGAAACCGAACCAAATTGGCCATACAAGTATTATGGCTACAAGAGCAGGTCGCAGGTTAGGAACATCGCAGCAATTCCTGATTCCCCAAAGGCTGTCCACCATATTCAAGACACAAGTCAGGAGTGTGCTGGAATACCCTCACTTGCCTGGATTAGTGCAGCTCCAACGTCACTCAAGAAGCTTGACACCATCTAGGACAAAGTAGCCCCATGATTTTCACCACGTACACAAAATTTCCCTACCTCAATCATAGTGCTTGGAAGCAGCAGTGTGATGCACTGCAGGAATTCACTAAAGCTCCTTAGACAGAACCTTCCAAATCCACAACCACTACTATCTAAAAGGACAAGGGCAGCAGATACATTGGAACACCACCACCTGCAAGTTCCCCTCCGAGTCACTCACCATTCTGATTTGGAAATCTATCGCCATTCCTTCAGTGTCGCTGGTCAAAATCCTGAAACTTCCTCCCCAATGGCATTGTGGGTCTACCAAAAGTGAATGGACTAGAACAGTTCAATAAGGTAGCTCCTTACCACTTTCCAAAAGCAAACTAGCGATAGGAAATAATTGCTGTCCCAGCCAGCAAAGCCTACATCCCATGAATGAATTTTTTAAAAAATTAATCCCACTCCCTTGCACATTCCCCTCTGCAAATTTTCCAATCAAGTGTTTAATTTCCTTTTGAAAAATTACTATTGAATCTGCTTCCACCACCCTTTTCCTTAAACCTCTCTCCCTTTCTGTCCTGCTAATGAGTCATTAGTACGTACCTGTTAACCAAACTTTTAGTCCTTTTTCTTTGTGTGTGGCATCAGTCAAGTGAAGCACTTTGGAACTTTTTACAACTTTAAAGATACCCTTTGAACGCAGAGTCATATTGAAACTCTTCCTCAAGATAAATCACTTTTTAACCGTTTTTACTCTGAGGAGAACATCTTTTCTGGTCATCATGTAACCAAATGTCTGAATCTTGTCCAGATTAAGTCAACATTCTCCACTTCCTTTTCTCCCCCAACCTCTGATTTTAGGATGATAGGTCACTGCTCGAAAAGCCAGAACTGTCCTACCACACCAAGATGGCCGTCCAACTCCGCACAGCAGAGAAGGAGATCTTGGAAAAGGCAGTGCAAAGTGCTGCTACAAAAAGAGAGCACTTTACAGAACTCCAAGACAAAGGTGCACCACTTCCCAAATATGAGGAAAGTAACATCGCCATGCTAGAGAACACTGCAACAGACTCCAAAATTCCGATGGTGCTGAGAAATTTAAACATTGATGATGAAGGAGAGCAGGATTTGAATTTAACGGAAGCCCTGGGGAAGGCAATTGTAGAAGGGGGAGGCATCGTGAATGGAGAGAGCACTTTTCCCATTGGTACCAATCCCAAAGATCATGAAAACCCTGAACAAGAAGACAATACCAAAGAGACTGGAGGTACCATAAAGACTATATCAGAAAAGAATGAGCACATTAAAACAGTAGAAATTGGAGAACAATCATGAAATCTTTAGGTGAAGTGGAAATGGGAACTCTGAACATTTCTATAGCTGAAAGTGCAGCACATTTGATCATGTCCTTTTAAGGTGAGATGAGTTGTAGCTGAAGTGGTCTTGTCAAGGGAGCTTACTTTCTTTTAAAATTTCAGTTTGTTTAAAAGAAGTGGTCTTCAAATAGCTTCCGGCTTAAATTTGCCTACTCCCATTGTTGGATTTGAAAACGGGAGGACTGTCAACTAGTTTAAATGAAATTTTCAGCATCAGAATTCAGTCAATTAAAACTTTTTTTTAGCTCTACAGAATGAAATCTAACAGTGAAACAGTGGTGTAAAGTAATTCTTTTTGATTTAATAACATGTGTATGCTGTTTGGTACACAAGTTTTAAAAAAAAATTGTGCTTTTCAACACAATATTCATTTTGTTTCTACACATAAAGAATTTCCACAGGAGTGCAGACTCATATGCACTCAAACGCATCCACAGTGACCACAAACCAGTTGCCCCTTGTTGACTATTATAATCAGGTGGTTACTATTTCTAGTTTTTGTTTTTTATTGGTGCAAAGAATATCAAGTGGTGAGTGAGTAACCAACTGGTATGTCATAGACTGAATGTCATGGTTCCATATGTCTGCTCTAGACACGTTGTAAGCATTATATGTAACCACAAGATGGGGGTTGATATAGAATTCTGAAGTATGACTTCCAGTGAGGCTCAACTTTCTGACTGGGCAAACTGAAGTGCCAAGCCTTTTACAACCACAGCATAGAAATTCATAAATCCTTAGAAGTTCCAGAGTCTTTGATGTTGATTGGTTCATACATTTGGCACCAGTGTCATCTGCAAACAGTTAAGGAAATCTAGACTAATATTTTCTGTTTGAGCCTGTGATAATTTAAACTGGTGTGGTCCTTAGTTCCCATGAGAATGTTAGTGCTATTTGTTTGGATCCCTCAACCAAAGGCATATACCATCTGCAAAAGACTGTGGGCAGATGGCTACCAGAACTGGGCTTTCTTCTACTTATAAACATGGAATTCTGTTAGTGCTAAGGTTTAATGACCTTCATAAGCTGATGATCCAACATAATCATAATGCAAAGGACTATATCCCTTTTTGTCCCCTCCACATCTCTCTGCCCAAGTGATTGATGACATAACCTCTATCGTAATCAAAGTCATCCATATTCTTTCTTTTAGACTAAAGTTGTCACTCTGATTATATATTGGTTGAACCTATCCTATTTTGCTGGGTTAAAATGAATTAATAGTACAGTGATTATAATGAGGAAATAAATTTGTTCTCTTTCAAGTACTGAGTAAACAGCATGGTTTAAATTAAAGCGTAGGTACAATTCAATACCAACTCCTGCGATAGATGTTAAGACTTGCACCCATAAGCATTTGACAATTTGCTAATTCCACCCTCTTCCCCAGTGCCCCTTCCCACCCATCCCCAAATTTCGACCTAACCCCTAATAACTGAAAATTGCCTTCATATGGTGCTGGGCACAACTTGATTTGGACGTTTTTACAACGCATCTACTTCAGCTCTGAATCTGAAGTTCAGATTTAATTAATGTTATGATTGAACTGTATTAGAGTATTGTGTGCTGAGATGTTGCCTTGACTGAGTGTCATCCAGCTAATGTCCACTGTTTAAAATTCAAATTTGTTCAATTTAAGTTATCGGATAATTTAGTAATTTTCCTAACACTAGTTTTCCAACTGGATTTGTTTTTTTAAAATTATTACCTAACTTCTTTAAGTGCAAGAATAAATGTATATGAATGGAGTAAATTTGGAAATCTGTTTTCGAAAAAGAAACAGAAAACAGAGTGAAAATTCTTAGTTCAAACCAATCCCATATAAACAGGCAGTAATAGATGTGATGATTTGGTGCAATTAACTTTGCATCTTTTTTGGACACAAATGTAATAATTACACCTTAAATTATGAGTTTGAAATTTATTTATATTATTGTGATTAATATAGTATGCAGAACTTATGCTGATCTCTGTATTGAGAATTAGGAGAACAATATTTGAGACAATGGAGCACCCATTGTAATGAAAAGGGCTAACTACTTTGTCCATATTCTAGTCTGTTTATAATTTGCACAACTTATCCTATTTGAAAGAATACATGTGAGTTTTGTAAATTTAGCAGTTTATGTACTATCCGCTTTAATAATTTACCCACCATATTATCTGTTTTAATACTTTGAAAACTGAACAGCAAATTTTTATTTTGAACGATTGTCTTTTCTTAGTTTTTGATTTGTAAGAGAAGTCTTCTTTAACATCTTCTCTTACATCTGAAAACCAACTCACTAATTAGATCATTGATACTTTGTCCTCCAAAGTGTGGACAGAGCATGAAGCACTGTACGTTTTATATGTTTCTTTAAAGAAAATGTAATTATCGCACTGTTTATGTAAATTTTAGACCAGATGCTCTACAACCTTGAATACATTAAAGAGGATCGATGAATGTAAAACTTTGAAGAAAAGGCCACTGTTCTTAGTGAAATGATGTTATTTTCCCCTAGAAACTTTAGGTTGCATTTCCCTTGAACACAGTTACTTTGATGAAATTAAAGTGGCTCACCTTCTAAAGATGATGACTGAGACATATTTTATTTTTGAGAGAATCTGCTTTCCACTTGTTACTGATCTTGCTTTTATTTACTTGCAAATGTTTAACTGCAATATCTGGCTCCTCTCCACTGTGTCAAAGAAACCTTTTGCTCAGAATTGTAGACCACAACAGACGGGGGGGATAAAAAAGACAAATTTTGAAGTCGGGGGAGAAAATATGAACTCTGCTTCAAGTAACATGACAGTTTTCTGTCAGTGTATTTGTACTCTGACTCAAAAGGGAAATCTTAATGATGGGGCACTGCTCCTCTGAGGCTACAATGTATTATAACAATGAAGTGTTGGTGTGTTACGTATCAACCTGAATAAGCAGCCTCCTTGCAAGTGGACGAGTGCTCAGAGTCGTGATGAGCCACAATTACCTGAAGCCATTCTTCTTAAGAAGACCAAGGAAAGTACAGTCGTGCCAAGTCAGCTGCATCTGATCAAAGCTTACCTCACAAGAAGTATCTGCAGCACCTAAAGACAATAGTCCAGACTCCTGTTCTAGAACGACCTAATTGTGCAACATGGATCCCTGTGAAACATAGAAAGTAGGTGCAGGAGTGAGACACTCAGCCCATTGGGTTGAGACACTCTGCCTTTTAACATGATTGTTGTTGATCCTCTACCTCAAGCTATACTCCTACTCTGTCTACATACTCTTTGACACCATTTGCCTTGAGAAATCTGTGTGTTTCTTTCTTAAACCTAGTTGATGACTTAGCCATTACAGCCTTCTATGTTAGAAAATGCCACAAGTTCACCATCCTTTGATAAAAAATTTTTTTCCTCATCTCAGTTCAAAATGGCCCATCATTATACTGAGACAGTGACTCCTTGTTATGGATCTCCTAGCCAGGAGAAACATCTTCTCTGAATCCAGTCTGTCCAGCACAATGACAATTTTTTTTTGATGTTTCAATGAGATCCCTTCTCATTCTTCTAAACTCCAATGATTACGGTCCAGTTAGCCTAATCTCTGGTCATATGATAAACTTGTCATCCCAGGAATCAATCTGGTGAACCTTGGCTACACTCCCTCAATATCTAGCTTTTCTTCGGTAAGGAGATCTGAACTGAACACAGTACTCCAGGTGTGACCTCAACAAGGCTGCAACAAGACTTCCTTGCTCCTGTACTCAAACCCTCTTGCAAAATAGTCAACAGACATTTCCTCTTACTTGAGGCTTGCTGCATCTATATGTTTGCTTTCAGTAACCAATACTCAAGGTCAGCTAGGTCCTTTTGTACATAACATTTTCAAATCTGTCACCATTCAGATAATGCTGTGCCATTCTGCTTTTTCCAACTGAAGTAGACATTTTCTCACTTATCCACATTATACTGTATTGGCCACTCATTTGCCTACTGAATTAACTTGTTTAAATCTCCCTGAAGCTTCTAAAGGAATATACATGTAACAATGTGATGGGTGAATCCTAAGTGTTCCAATGTGCAGAAACATAAACACTTTACATCTGCCACAGACTTAAATATGAAAATAGGAACTGTGTCACAAAGTTGCTAGGCCTCTTGGTGCACCTATAGGTCAAGAGTTTATTTGGATCTTGAAGGCCAAACTAGTCTTTGTATAAGTTTACCAGGCTCTCACTTGATGCCTACTTCCATACATCTGTTGATTACTCCAAAAACAAATAAAAAGTAATATGGATGCTAGAAATCTAAAATAAAAACTGAAGATACAGGAAATACTCTGTCGATCAGGCAACATCTGCAGAGGAGAAACTGAATTCTGGTAAATTACTTTATCTGAAACATTGTCCCAATTTGTTGGTTGTGGAGAGGGACTCCTGATTTAACTTGCATTGCTGATGTGTCTCGGGATACTGAGGAAATCGCCACATAAGCGTATCCATGGTATTTATGTAGTTCTGATTGCCAGGTTAATGCTTCCCAGAGTGCAACTTGAGTTGGCCTGCAATCCATAGCACACTCAGTGCTGACTCCTTACCCTGAAGCTGCCTCAATCCTCAGTTACTACTCATCCCTTCTCCTGCATCCTTTCTCCTAGTTCACCTTCAGCAATCCCTGGCCTCCTATCCAGCTACTGTTAGAAGATTCAGCATTAATTGAGTAGGGTGTTTGTGGGTTGGTGCAGGTGGTAAACTCTCAAGGGGTGAGGGAGGTAACACTGTCAGATGGTGAGGGAGAGGGTGAATGCTGTCCAAGATGAAGAGAGGGAAGGGAAGAAAACGTTGTGTGATGATGGCAAAAACTAAACAAAGTAATACTGGACATGAGGTAATTAATTGTAGGTACTTTTTTAAGAAAATGTTTCACTCTGAAACAAAACTGGAAATTGCACAATTACAAGAAGCTTTGGGCTGTTTAACGTTTAATACAATATGTCACCTAATGCAGCAAGGAGTTGGTTTGCCTTCCCTGACTACCCCCCGAGCAGTTGGAGTTCAAGTTGGCTGTTCATTTCTGAAGAAGCCTAGATCCGCTGTCTGAGCCAGAAATGTAGAGGTTGGTCATAGCATAACAAAAATATGAGTAACAATCCAGCAGTGATCCAAGCCAGTATCTCTGAGCATCTCTGTCCACAGATGCTGCCTAACCTTCTGCATATTTTCAGCATTTTCTGTTAATTTTAAGGATTACTACAAATGGATGATACCTTGTAAAACTTTCTCCAGAGTTTTAATCATATTTGTCTGAAGAGGAGTCTTTAGACTCGAAACATTAACTCTGTTTTTCTCTCTGCACAGATGCTGCCGGATGTGTTGAGTTTCTGCAGCATTCTCTGTTTTTATTTTTGATTTACAGTTTCTGCAGTATTTTACTTTTACTTAAATATTTATGCTGTAACTGTTCATGCAAGTAATGCATTTCTGGTTATTTCCATTTATTTTTCTTACACTGAAGTTTGTACTTTACTACATGTGTCAATTGTGTACGACAATTTAACTTTCTATTATGTCCTATATGTTGCAATTTCTAAAAGATATATTGAAAAGCAACTTTCCAATAGGAACTTAGAACTGGCCGACTATCACTGAAGGTGGCTAGAAGTTGCTGTGCAGTTACTCATATGCAACCTATCAAAACTCTTATGGTATAATAATTTCCTTTTGCTTCACATATCTGGCCACTATTAACCAATTTCTCCATATTGCATCTCACCACAACTCTGTACATTTATTCACAGAAAACTGTGCTGTGACTTTCATGAATTAATATAACAAAGTACCAGAACTTTTTGATTCCTGAGAGGTTGTTGATCAAAGCGTTCTATTTTTAAAAGTAGGGAGAAAAACAATTGCCAGTGTCAATTGCTTTAGAATTTTTGATCAGTGACATCAAAACTACATATGTAAACAGTTGGTATTTTCTAAATTTTAAAGTTCTTAAGCACAGTAACCTAAATTAAATAAGTTCAGTAACTTAAAACTAAAATTGACTCACTATATGTAACAAGCCAGCAAACACTTAAGTTGTTAGGTATCACAATCCATGCTATTAAGAAAACACGATCTGCTTCTTACTGTCTATCCAAAGCAGTCTGAAGCTTTTATTAAGAGACAGTTGAGTGATCGCTGTGCTCTGATGAGTGCAAGGATATTGCAGAGTATGATAGAGTTGTGCAATAAAAAACCTAGACTTTTATCCAAGACTTGAGGTAATAGAAGTGAACTGAAGAAAACATAAAAGGATTTTTTTTGATAAGAAGTTCTGCTATTTCCTGCAACCTTCAAATTTCATGTTTGCTTTAAAATATCAGACAATAAATACCACTTTAAAAAAAGTCAGAGTCAACTACTTATCACCAACAAATGTTAAATACATATGAATGGCTTTCACCGCCAAAAGATGTAAAAGTTCTGGGATCTTTCCCCAAAGCTGAGTACGGTATAGCCTGAGATAACAAGGTGTAGAGCTGGATGAACACAGCAGGCCAAGCAGCATCAGAGGAGCAGGAAGGCTGACGTTTCAGACCCTTCTTCAGGAAAAGTATAGTCTTTTGACTTTTACTGATCCCCAGAAGTTGTGATATAAACTTATTAGTAACAAAAACATATTTCATTGATAATAGTAAAATTATTTTCCTCATCTGGTCACATCCTTGATAGCAATGCAAACATTCTGCAATGTGTACAACTAGTCATCATTGTAAGTGAAACACTTTGAGAATTTCTGGAGATGACTCTCTATTTTCAGTCCATGCTGAGTCCAATAATCTTAATTATTGAAATTCTTTACATAATTGTGCATTTTTGGTGAGCCCACTGGCTGATGCTTGGCACTTCACCTTTAATGATTTTGCAATAGGTGAATGAATGGTCTTTAGTTAACACAAAAGTAGATAAAACCCTAAACACAATTTAGGAGTGGTTAGCATTCCGGCGCCCCCAACAGGGAGTGCTCAGTAAGGGAAATTTATAACTTTTTATTAAGCTTGCAACATGTTCTCCATGACATCACTTCTTACTGTCAGTGTTATGTCATGAGAGCACCCCTTTTGTGTGAAAGCTGTATTTGAAAGGAAACTTTCAAAATGAAATGTGTAATTTTAGTTACACGTCTCCAGATAGTGCCAATAAGGTTCACCAAAACGAAGGTGAAGTCACCATAATCCTGGCAGGCCATAGTGCTGCTCTCGCATTAGAGAGAGATGACTGGTGGTGGTTTAACCTGAGGGTCACCACGCCTCAGGCAAGGGGAGAAGTTGAGAAGGAGAGTCTTTCTTGGTAACCTCAGCCAGTGTGGGAATTGAACCCACCCTGTTGGCATTGCTCCCCAAACCAGCCAACTGAGCTAATCAGCACCGTGCCAAAACAAAACAGGTATTATTAAATATCATAAAGTCTGAATACACTAAAATATTGCACTATTTCTGATCCTGCACAGGCAGAGTCATGTAGCCATCAACAAAAGTGGGGATACTTGCTCCAGCTGATAGATCATGCTCTGTAATCTGAATTTTCTTTGATTGTCTTTGCAAGTGCTGTCCC